GACACTGTTGTAGTAGGTCTGATCTCTGACAGTGATGAGAGGGCCTACCTGGAGCACCTGGAGAACTGGTGTCAGGATAATAATCTCCTCCCTAAGGTCAGCAAGACTAAGAAGGATAGTGGACTTCAGCAAGATACAGGAGAGGAGCTACCATCCTATATGCATAAATGGAGCTGCAGTGGGAAGAATGGGCTGTTTCAAATACCTTGGACTTCACATCTCGCAGGACCTGTCATGGTCTGGCTACATCAGCTCTCTGGTGAAGAAGGCCCGCCAGTGTCTCTACAACCTCAGATGCCTAAGAGACTTCAGACTGCCCTCCAAAATGTTACAGAACTTCTGCAACTGCACCATTGAAAGCATCCTCATGGGGAACATCATAGCCTGGTTTGGAACCAGCACCAAGCAGGACAGAAGGGCTCTTGAGAGGGTGATGTGGTCAGCTGAATGCATCATTCAGACCAAGCTCCCTGACCTGCAGACTGTATGTAGCAAGCGGTGCTGGACCAAAGCCAGGAAGATCGTGAAAGACCTCAGCCACACCAACAATGGAATCTTCTCTCTTTTGCAGTCAGGGAAGCACTTTCGCTCCCTGAAAGCAAACAGAGAGAATGAGGAGGAGCTCCTTCCCACAAGCCATCCAAGCTCTAAACCATGACAGCAAGTGCAACAAACAGGACCATCTCACACACATACACACCCATCACACACAGGACTCTGCACTAAACATTGATCACCTATAATTTATTTATACTACCTCCTGGTCAGTTGCACAGCATTACGTTGCTCTTTCACTTTGCACATTTTGCACCTTGCACTTTACTCTCAACAATGCCATGTGTACATTGCACATTTCGTATTTTCATGATGCTTCTAGTGTATATTTCATAGATGGTTATTTTGTTATATTTTTTCTGCTTTTTTATTTGACTGCTGTTTCTGTTACCTTATTGCTTCATGTGAGCTGGCAGTTATCTAAGCATTTCACGGTTAGTTGTACCATTTATGACTATTTATGGGACAAATAAAACTTTAAACTTGAACATTGATCACTCGGGTAATGAACCTTTCTCTCTAATGCTAATGCAGCAGTCACCACCTTCACCCAGAGCACTGCAGAACCTGCAGATCTTAGTTCCACTTCTTCTGTCTTCTGTAGAGGATCAGTAACCTTCAGCATTATTTTTACATCCTCTGACATTTTCAATTTGATTTCATGCACAACAATTGACAACAAAGAACAGCTCAACACTTCGAGGCCATTCATACCAAAGCTCTCTCTTTCTCATTCTCTGTATAGCAGCTCTCAGCTGATCTAATCTTTTCTTACTGTGCTGTAAATCACAATGTAATGGGAAAGTGTGAAGTTGTGGTTTGTTCTTATGAACAAATTTTGATGTTCTGTTTTTTTAGACGTTAAAGGTTAAAGTTTCACCTTCTTTGTTTTTGTACGTCACCAACTCAGAATGTGGACGATCCCTCAGGCAACCTGAAGGCATAAGTGTGGCCTAAATTAATTAATGTTGTTTTAGGCATAGACTGTGCACAACTAATGCGTACCACATGCATTATATAAATATTTGAATGCATTTCGCCAGTGTTTTAAATTCTCTTTACTTTTACTGATGTTGCCTATCACACTGAGATTTTATCAAAAAGTCCTGAACGGTCCTACTTTAAGGTCTAAACAACCTAACGAATAAAGGTTTGAGAAATGGAATGCACACTGCACACGACTGCTAGACTGGTGCTAATGTAACATTAGACATCCCATAAAGGTGCTTTTTAGCAAATTAGCATTTGTTTCTAAGCCTTAAAATACTCTTTTCTAAAGGAAATTTTCTCTGGGCAGTTTTATATAAAAGCTCAGTGAAAGTCTCCCAGTGGCAGCAGTGTGGTGGAGGAATGTAACACTGGCATATTGGGAATGTAACACTGGCTCCCCTTTTTGGTCAGTGCTGAGTACTTCATCATTCTGAATCCTGACTGTATCATACTGAACATCAGCAGCTCCAGAGTCAGCAGAAGCAGCAGCAGCCTGTACAGGTCTGGATGTGTTGTGTGTAACGGTGGTGTAGAGGACATCATCCTGAGAGTGAAGAGTTCATGGAGAACAGTTTAACCCTCCTGTTACCTTCAAATTTACTAACATCTTTTATCCTTGCAATTTATCCAGCAATTTAAACCTCCAGAAAATGATTATAATTAAAATTGTCACCCAAGTTTATGTCACATATTTTATGTTTGTTTGTTGACTACTTAAAAAGCCTTTAACCCCTCCCCCCACCCACCCCCCTTATACATCCAGGAGACCTGTTCCGTGACTATGGAGAAATATGCAGATCACCATAAAATCTCATTGATTGACCTAAAATTGGCTATAGAGATCTTTTTGGTGTTTTAATGGCTTTATATTATTTCTAAGTACATATTTTTGTTATCTATAACATTTGGAATATTTTATAATTACAAGGGGCCAACAGGCAGTCATGCGTCTGCAGCTGTATGTGGCTATGACCTCGTCCAAGTTATCAACCCCTCCCTTTGTCTTGTTGTAGTCCAAGACCATTTGTGGTTTTCTGTCTTCTCTGGTGCTCAGGACAGCATCTTTGTGCATAGTGCTCATCAGCAGGACAGATTTTCCCTTTCTTGGGGCAATAGAAGACGACAGTGGCTCTGTCAGTAAAGGGGGCCTGGATTGTAAAGAAAGGGTAATCGCTGAACCCACTTGTCCCATACATCCCATCCAGTTTGTCGCGCTCTTGTCGGCCTTGCCTTGTTTCTCTGTCATCAAAGCATATGACACGGGAGTAAACATGGAATGTGTTTAGAGACATGGTGGCTGGAAATATTGCCCTTCCAGTGTCAGCAGCCCAAAGGCTTGCTGTTGCTTTACCTTTTGACCACTTGCAACCCAATGTAGGCTTGCAAGTGGGTCACATCCAAGTCTTTCCAACTATCCCCATACCCACGCCTCCCCTCTAAATTTGTCATCTCAAGTATATCCTTTTCAATTGATGGTGTTATGAGAAGCTCAGATGCTGATTTTATGTTTTGGACATGGCATGACATTAGCAGCACTAAGTCTACCCTGTTGTTCAGGTGGGGAGATGGACCATAATAACTTTCCCTTTTTTGGAAGGTATTGTGTTTGCTGGTGGTTGAGAGACAAAAGGAGGGTCAACACTGAGGGTCCCATTCTCATCAGAGGAGGATGCCTCATAATTAGGGTCCTCCTCAACATCATCCTCTGTCTCAGACACATTCTCTTTCATGGTCAAAGAGATGTGACAACACCTCATTGACAGAAAACCTTTCCTTAGTAGTCATTTTCAGTTGAAAGAGAGCAGAAAGAGAGAGCACACAGAGCACCAAGAGAAATGGCTTAGAAGGCTGCTGTGCAAAACTTTTATATGTTTGCTCCACCTCTACGTTGTGTGAACTATCAATATCTTCGCGGAACCATATTTTCCCGCCCCCACAGCATGGGAAATATCAAAGTTCTCGCAAGAATGATGTTTTCCCCTCACTGTTCCCCTCAACTGTTAGTGGTTCTCACACTACTACAGATATGGTTATGTTAGGTTAGGACCTTAAAGTCAGCTAAAACAGCCTGGGGTCAAATTGACCCCAAAGAACACCAATGCATACAACATGTGTACAGGACATTGAAAACATATCATGATGTTAATTTTAGGTTTACCTAGTTGTCCCCATTAAATTAGGAAAAGTCATTAAATATGAAGCGAAAAAATGATGTCAATCATTTATTTAAAGATGTTAAACATTGAATGGGGTCAAATTGACCCCAAAGATAATAGGAGGGTTAAATGTGTAATGTTCTGAAAATGTGACAGAAAACACTCCTATCTTAAAAATACTTTCTTGAAGAGTTCCAAGTCGAAATGCGCTTTTTTGTAGTTCTCAAATAATAAAATGATCTTTTTTGTAGTTCTTGAAGTATATTTAAAAAGAGTTCTTTTATAGACAAAGGGTTTATAGTGCTTGATATGATACTGTTTTACTTTGTAATAAACATCTTTACAAGCATGACAGTGTCAGCGGAGTTTTCCTTCATTATCTTCACATCATCACTACTTAATAAACAACATTCTCAAACAATAAAATGACACGCACACACACACACACACACACACACACACACACACACACACACACACACACACTAGGGGGCAGTGAGCACACTTGCCCAGAGTGGTGGGCAGCCCTATCCACAGTGCCAGGGGAGCAGTTGGGGGTTAGGTGCCTTGCTCAAGGGCACTTCAGTCACGTATTGTTGGCTGAGGGGATCGAACCAGCGATCTTCTGATCACAAGTCTGGTTCCCGAACCTCCAGCCCCGATGATGAGTCTTGTTAAAAGACAGCAAGATAATTTCTTTATATTACTTAATTTTATTCATATTAGAAACAAAAACATAGTTTTAGATTTTTTAGAAATGCTTTTCTTGGTCCATAATAAGTTTTTATCAAGTTCAAGCCAATATTTTAATTTTCCTACAAAATCATGTAGGTATGGTATTCTAGGCTGACAGTTAATTCCACAGACAAACACTTCATTTTTAGTATGTGACAATATTATTGAATGTGTAGTTTGGAGAACAGTTACTCAATGACATCTTCTGGGTTTGTGCACTGCTACTGGGCACTCTAGAGGGAATCTTAATGACTGGGTTCCTATTGCGCTTTTGTGCAAAATCATAGTTTGTGCTGAAAGTACACATTCTTTAAAACACATTATTAAACACCATATCGTATTTCAGTGCAACTGTTTTTGAGTGATTTTGAGCTGTAAGACTGTCTAACAGTGTCTTATGTGTTCTTGATGTCAGAAAGAATGAACTGCTTTACTCAGCCAGTGAGCTGATCAACTTGCCAACCAATCAGCACTGACTATCAGTAATTCCAACCAATCAGCACTCAGTAGCAGTAATGCCAACAAAACAGGATTAATTTTTCATTTTTAGCTGCATCTCTCCATTCACCCCTCTTCAATGAGGACTTGCTCACAGGCACCCTCTGGTGTTCTGTCATGTTTTTGATATGACAAGAGCAACAAGTCCTGAGTCATGTGATGGAGCAAGGAGTTCTGGGAATTGGAGTCCTGGGTGGCCCCGCTGGCCAGTTTCAGCTGCATTTAGGAGATCACAAGTAAACATCAAATCTAATAAAAAGTGTGGTGTGATTTGCCTCAAAACGGGCGTAGAAAGTGTTCAGCTCGTCTGGAAGTGCAGCGCTGATGTTATTCACAGAACGAGTTTCCCTCTTAAAGTCCGTTATTGTGTTTAACTCCTCCCACAGGCTTCTTATGTTGGTGGTGTTGAACTGTGACTCCACTTTAGCTCTGTACTCTCGTTTGGCTGCTCTTATGGTCTTACAGAGAGCATAGCTGGCATTTTTATACTCATATACACTGATTTAAAAGCAGTGGTACGTGCATTCAGATCTGCACAGATTATAGATATATTTATATCACAGATTTCATTTTGATTTTCATTATTAGACTTTGAGACAATTACAACACAAAAACAGATTAATAAGTAGGTTTATTTACCTTCTGTGAAGTAAAGTAGCTCTGATCTAGATCTGCTGTACATTAATAATGCTAAGTGAATCATCACCTTGCAAAAACTTGAAGATGTTTACACTGGAAACGCAAGTGTGGTCATGAAGAACAAACATAAAGAAATTATAAACGTGTCAGCTAACAATTTGAGAGAACTAACTACACATTTTACAGGTGTGCAACTCAGTTTAAAGCAGTATCTGTAGTTCACAGTACATTTAAAAAAACATGGTACCACTAATGGGAACTTCTTGCAGGCCAGCAATGTCATTATAGACATTAGAGGAAGAGTCATACAGCTCACTGTTCTTCACCTCATGGATTAGTTTCTCCTCATCTGTTTTTGGCCAGTTTAATCCTGTTTTGAAAATCATGGCTAAATCACTCTTATTTCTGGAGGGAATAATTATTGTCTTTAAACCTGAAGAACAGCCAGAATCAGGACCTGTACCTGGATGATGGTGGCCAACACTCCCAAACACAGTATCTTCCCAAACTGCTTTCACATAACCTGAACATTAACATCACATACTTGAAAAGGCAACTGAAAACCTTTACTTAGTGTTTTTGGAACTAAATACAGCCAGTTAAGCATGTGCAAAGCATCATGGGAACAAAAGCATGCTCTAACACCACAATATTTGGCATAAACATATGCCTGAAAAGAGTCTTTTTAACATGAAGTTCAGAATTTTTGAATATGAGCTCCAGACAGTTTGTCCACCTTTTGCTTTAAAGCCAGTGAGCATTCGAGCTGCCAATGAACTCAGTTTGTGGAAAAGCCACTGATGAGCCAATCAAATCCACCTAAAAGTGGTCCAAAAATGAGCTTTAATGGAAGAGATGAGACCCAAAAACTCTTTCTGTACGAAGGCCGTAATATGTCATAAAGTTTGCTTAAATTTGAATAGTGACCTAAAAATAGTGCAGAATATTCAATATTTTTTACTTGTCTTCAGTTTTCTTTATTTTAATTTTTTCAAACTTCTAAAACTTCAGCTTTATTTTCATGCTTAAAATGAAAAACATCCCAAATTTTCTATGTAGTCTCAGATGTTTGGACCCCAAAAGTACAAGATTCTCTTCTTTTAAGATGAAACTTACATCATATCCTTCGCTCAATAATATCACTCATTAAAATGTCATCAAACTGTATCAATTCCTTCTACATATTGTATATTTTACACTTGTAGCCTCTTTACTATTATTCACAGTTTTATTCACAGTTCCTCATTTCTATATTGTATTTTTACTTTTTGACATTATGTCTATTTTATCATTTTACAATTGTATATGATCTTAGATCATAAATGAATTAAAGTTATACACATTAAAATTATATTTTTTCTTCTTACTATTTTTATTATAATTTATGATTATATGTGAATGTGTCAGTCTCCACAATAAATATCCAGTTTGTCAGAGCAGAGAAACAGTGCCCTCCTTCTGTCAATTCACAAACTGCAGACAAAGACACCAGTGATGACGTCAAACCTCACAGACTCTTAAACTATTTATATCTCTGAATACATGAAATATCTGGCAAATAACTATCAACATTAGCATACACTTATTCAACAACATACAACTGTTTCCAAGTTGGGACGCTGTGCAAAATGTAAATAAAAACAGAAAGCAATGATGTGCAAATCAATTCAACCCTATATTTATTGAAAATAATACAAGACAACATATCAACTGATGAGACTGAGAAATTTTATCTTTTGAAAAATATATGTCCATGTTAAATTTGATGCCAGCAACATATTTCAAAAAAGCTGTGATGGGGACATGTTCAATGCAGTGCTGTCTGAGGGTCTGAAGTTCATGGCCATCCTCTACTGATTTTTGCCCCTTGAATACAGAGATTTCTCTGGATTCTCTGAATCTTTTAATGATATTATATACTGAAGATGACAAAAAGCAAAAGTTCTTTGATGTTTTACATTAAGAAACATTATTCTTGAATTGTTACAATGTATAACTGCACAGTCTTCCACAGAGTGGTGAACCCCTCCCCATTTTACCTCTGAAAGCCTCTCAGAGGCTCTTTTTATACCCAATCATGTTACTGACCTGTTGCCATTGAACTACAAGGTGGTTTTTAGCTTTGCCAGTCTTTTGTTGCCCCGTCTCTGCTTTTTTGAAACTTTTTTTTTGCTTTTTTATTTATATTTTGATATACACTCTTTTAAATCATAGTTTTTATAGTATAATAAACCAATAGAGTAGTTCTGCTACGGTTACACAGTATTAGTGGTTAACAACAAGTAATGTTACCTGTTATCTGCATACTGTTACTCTTACAGAAACCAAAAAAATCATACAGCAGTTATGTTTATATTAACTTGTATTTTATTAACATGCATATATATATATATATATATATATATATATATATATATATATATATATATATATATATATATACTTTTTGCCATAATATTACCATGTTATCACCCAATTGTTACTGAAGTGTAAAGTAAAATGCTACTTTTCTGCTTTGTGGTTTTCTGGATTGATAATACACTAAACTGTTTTTTTAGCAGGTAATCAGACTTAAACATTCAATCATTCAATCAGACTGATGAAAAGTAAACTGTGAAAACAGAAGAATATCAGTGTTTGACATGTAGGGGGAGCTCTAACACTCTCTAATCAACCTACAGAGTGTCATATAGAGATAGATGGAAAGAGGTACATCCCCACCCCTGCCCCCGCCCCCTTCTCTCTCAGTCTACCCACTATGTTTATGTGGAGGGTTCATCTTATTGAGGGCTGTTCCAGAATAATTAGAAAGGAGTGGAATTGAATTATAAAATCATCTGATAGGAAGAAAATATTCATGTAGATTTACTACAACATTCAACAGAAGTGCAGACTGTTTAACATGATGAAACAGCTCACACACGTCAGCTCCACTCACTGTTTAGTCAAATATGACTTTTGTTTATTTGGGGTGTTTTTCTCACAAGGCCGTTTCACAAATTCACAGAATGTGTGAAGTTAAACCTCAAAAATAAACAAACCACTGGAAAGCGGAAGTTGCTGTCACCATGACTACAGATACTGAGCTCACTGAGCAGTTCTGTGATCATGCAGTTTTAGAGCTTCTTCATTTACAAAACACCAGAATAAGAGTGTATAGAAGAAAACAGCATCTACAGCATCTTACAGACCAAATTGGTTGTATGCAGTGAAATATACAGTGCATTTTATTTTTAAATTGATGTGTATGGATGAAATATGGAAGATATCTACCATTTTTTTATTTTAATTTTTTTTTGTTGGGAAATTTAACTTTATTACACACTTTCTGTGATTTTATGAAAAGGCTTTGTGAGAAAAAGGCTTTGTGAGAAAAAGGCACCAACTCTTATGCACATATCCAAAATATCTGTCTAAATATATGGACATGATGCGTGAAATACAGACTGTGCATTTTACTGCTAGTTGTACCATTTATGACTTTTGTATGTGACGAATAAAACTTTGAACTTGAACATTGATCACTCAGGTAATGAACTACAAATCTCCACTCTCTAATATGCTAATGCAGCAGTCACCACCTTCACCCAGAGCACTGTAGAACCGGCAGAGTTCAGTCCCACTGTGCAACAACTCATACAGTCTTCTGTAGAGCATCAATGCCTTTCAGCATTATTTTTACATCCTCTGATGTCTTTATTCACAAAAATCAAACAGTCAGTTTCCATAAAGTCAGACTTTAAATAACACAACACCTCAGTTCATATGTCAAAACAGCCACATTACGATTTAATACATCTACAGAGAAATAAGTTCCCAATAGCACAACAAGAAAAATATTAGTAAATAAAACTGCTTACTATGTAAGTTTTAGACAAACAGCTAAAGTTTTGAAAAAGATAAAACAGGTAATTGGAGAGCCAAATACATCTAATCCAACTACTAATTTGATATTTATTAAATGTGAAAAATTGAAATATTAAACTGTAAAAGTTTAATCCTCTTCACTACTGACAGTTCAGTTTCATGCACAGTAACTAAGAATGGCTCAACACATCAAAAGTCCATCCATACCTATGCGCTCTCTCTCTCTCTCTCTCTCTCTGTGTATATAGCAGCTCTCAGTAGATCTTATCTTTTCTTACTGTGCTGTAAATCACTGAGGGATCTTCTACATTCTGAGTTGGTGACCTACAAAACAAAGAAGGTGAAAATTTAAATTTGAACACCTAAAAACAGAAGATCAAAATAAGTTTATCAGAACAAACCACAGCTTCACACTTTCCCATCTTTAATAAACATGTTCACCACTACACTACATTTATTTAACAACACAAACACAGTGTTTATCCAGCAGATGATGCTGAGATGAGAACTGAATTATTCAAACAGTCCAGAGACCTTTTTCTGACAAAACAGCAGCTGCACCTGAAACAAAGTTCTGCCTCTGAAATTTCACTGAAAATCTAAATGCTTCTTCTAACACTGTTAAACTGGTCACAGTGCTGATTTGAGCTCTGTAGATATTAAACTATAGCTAGAATTAAAACAACACAATACCTTTGTATATAACTTATCATAATGCTGAGCACATCATTTTAGTTTAGAATTATCATGCCTTTATCAAGTCTTATCAAGAAAATAGCTGTAAACAAATATATCAAGTTAATAACTGGATAATCAACTGGCTGCTAGTTGCTAAGCAGTAACTAGAGTTAAAAATTTTTAATATAAGATTTTATTAACAAAGTGAGGGAAAGTTTGGGAAATGGAATAAACACTGCACACTACTGCTAGATTGGTGCTAATGCGACACTGGAAATCTCATACATGTGTTTACAGGAAATATATTGTTTCTAAACCTTAATTTTCTCTTTTACTAAAAAAGTTCATCAGGGCAGCTTCATATAAAAGCTCAGTGAAACTCACCCAGTGGCAGCAGTTCGGTGGAGGAATGTAAGACTGGCATATTGTGGCTCCTCCTGCTGGTCAGTGCTGGTCATGTCATTATTCTGAATCCCACCTGTAGCATCAGCAGAAGCAGCAGCCTCTACAGGTTTGTGCGTAATGGTGCTGTAGAGCATTTCATCCTGAGAGTGAAGCGTTCATAGAGAACAGGTTAAATGTATAATGTTTTGCTCTTTTTTGTAGTTCTCAAATAATAAACAAATACAGACTGCAAGTGAAACTGTCACCTAGTAGTGGACATAGTATAAGGTCATTTGGATTGTGGCCAACTTACCTGGATTGTATTGTATAGTACTAATATTATTTTATGAGTTCAGTCCATGCCTTCACCATGGTGGTAATATGAGGGAAGACTAATTGAGGGAGGGGGAGAATTCTGAGAATTTGAGCTGGAGGTCTAGGAAGCTTCTGTCTGTAGCTAGAAGGCCAGAACCCCCCGATAGCTGTAGTGCGACTGATGTAGGATTGAAGAACAGGGAGGAGATGGGGTGGTGGTGGGGATTGCAAGCCCTTCATCACTGGAACTGAAGATGAGGATGTGTATTTATAGGGTGTTAAATTAGAAGTAGGAGGGGTTTCAGGCATGTTCCTCCCCCAAACTTCAGTCATAACAAAACTACATTTTGGGAGTTCAGACCATGCCTTTAACATGTGGTGGCAGTATGAAAGAAGACTGATTGAGGGAGGGGGCAGAACTCTGAGAACTTCAGGGCTGCAGTTCTGGGCAGCTTCTGCCTGTAGCTAGAAGGCCAGACCCCAAAAACTCCAGGATGAACTCAGAAACTGTTGAGGCCTGGGACTGAATGATCTCCACATGATGAGAAGGACAGATTTTTCAAGAGCTGATCTAAAGTGACAAAAACTGTAGCAGCTTTGGTAGAAAAATTAGTATTTAGGTCTAGTTACATTGGTCATTTACATGGGGACTGGATTAAGTAATTTTGCTATTAAAGTTGTAAAATGAGAAGTAAAATGGAGCAAATGAATTTTGGGACATGATGTCATGCTGCATAACAGATATTTGGGTTTGAACCCCTGATGAGCAAGCCAAGGGTGACATGGCTTCCAGGGACTGAGAGCTAAATGGGATGAGAGCTTGAAGGCAACAGTTTAGGAAAATCAAATCAGCAGTGACCGAAGAATGGACAAAATGACAAGGAGAGGTAGCACCTTCATAAACAAACCAATGTTAGTCCGGTAACACTTTCTATGAATGTTACCTTTTGTAAGCATCTATAAACACATTCATAACATGTTATAATTCTTCCATAAGGCATCATAGACATGGCTATAAATATTTATAAAAATGCAACACACATAATAGCCATGCTTATTATGCATTATGAATTGTTAACATAATACATTATAAGTACTGATCATGACAAATTATAAGAGCTCATAAGTTGTACTTGTCCGCTCTAAGTAAAGTGAAGCGTACTGTACTAAAGCCGCCTCAGAAGGAGTTGAACTTGAGATGGAGCTGGAGTGGAGAAGGAGCCATGAAGAGTCAGAAAGGAATTGCAGAGCTGGGTTGCAGGAGCTGATATGAGATGGAGCTGGGCTGAGGTGGAGCTCAGATGATATGGAAGCCTGAGGTAGAGAGATGAAATGGGTGGGGGGAGGATGTGGGATGAAAAGAGTGTGTGAGAGAAAAAAAGAGAAAGAGACAGAGGGGCTGGGATGATGAGGGGACTGTTTCTGCAGAAGGAGCATGCTTATGGCCGAAGGGAATTCAGGACAGAGAGCTGAGGTCTGTGGCAGGGTGGCTTGTAGCTGCACTGGCGTTAGACAACTGATTGCGAACGCTTTGTCACAGAAAAAGAAAGTGAGGATGTGAATTTATAGGGTGTTAGTTTGAACTGAATTAAACAAATTGAATGACTTTTTCTATCTAGGTATCATCACTGGCTTTTGTTTCTGGCAGTGTCTGAGTTTAAGAGAAGTTTGGTCTTAAACGTCACTGTACTAGCTAGGATAAATTATCTGAATGGACAATAAAAGCACCTGGATAAGAGTCCCTACTAAATTCCATGAATATGAATGTACCTGTTTTGATTTACTGCAAGCGGTTCCAGTGGCTCTTTCTTTCGTTCTGTGAAAATAGGACAAAACAATGAATACATTAGTTAATTAATTAGTTTAAGGGCAAAATTCTTTTTATGTTAATACATTGTTACAAGACCTAACAAGTCCCTTTTTCACACTCTAGGAAGATTTGTACTGCATTTTACTGACCTGTAGATGCAGAATATGACAGTAATAAGGAGAAAGATTCCTCCTCCCACTGCAATCCAAACAGCAGACAAACTCTGACCTGCAGGAAAGATAATTTATGTCAATTTTATCTGTCACTATTTTTAAAAGTGGACACTGAAATACAGAATTTCTCTTAATATTCACCACTTACTCTTAACAGTGACCATCACAGTTCCATTCTGAGCTCCATGTTTATTCTGAGCTTCACAGTACTACAGTCCAGTGTGGTCAGCAGTGATGCTGATGATGGTGTAATTCTGTCCAGATCCTACAGGTGAGGTTCCACCTTCTTTAAACCAGGTGTAGTTCTTCACAGGTGGGTTTGCATCACTTCTGCAGGTCAGAGTCACTGAAGTGCCCTCCACTATTTCACCAGAGGGACTGATGGACACTGAGACGCTCTTTGGAGGATCTAGAGACACAAATTATTTGATTTCTTTAGGTCAGTATTTTTTTTAGAAATCACAATATTTACAGCCTCAATATTACTACTTGAGGTTTACCAAGCAGGGTTTATCACACTGTTCCATTTCTGTGAATATCGCTTTGTATCTTTCTCATTTTGAAATATTTTGTGGTAAATAAATAAATAAATAAATAATTAAATAAAATAAAATAAAATTAAATAAATAAAGAGGTTGTGAGCAGTAGAGTGGAGGTGTTGATATTCTCTTACAGCACAGCTATAACTGCCTGCATCCTCACTGCTGACTGTCTGCAGGTGGAGCTGGTTGTTCTTGATGGTCTTTGTGGTTAAAGGATGTCCATTTTTGTACCAGATGAATGTTGGGTCAGTCAGACTGCAGGTGGTTTTACATGTCAGATCTGCTGTTTCTCCCTCTGTCACTTCTTCAGGAGCTTCAACATGGAGCTCTAAGACAATGAAAGGATGATCAGATTAGAAAAGAAAAGCTGTAAAGGTGTAAAGACAGTGAACCTTAGAAATAAATGTAGAAACGAGTACAGATTTAACTAAACTGAACGATGTTTTTATATTCTCTGCTTCTGAGGAAGTTCAGGAAACTATTGTACAACAAAACAAGTGATTTGGGTGCAACTGATGAATTAGCTTCAGTGCATGGAAACAAGTGATCATATTATTTACATATCATTTGCACCAGCAACTCAACATTTCTTTATATCAGTTTACAGTTATTGTACATTCACAGTAGTATTCAGGACCATCAGCCAACGGTGTTTTGCACACTGTGGAATTAGAACTCCGCATTTAACCCATCCGTGCAGTGAAACACCCACATACAGGCACACTAATGAACACGCACACACACTAGGGGGCAGTGAGCACACTTGCCCGGAGTGGTGGGCAGCCCTATCCACGGCACACGGGGAGCAATTGAAGGTTAAGTGTCTTGCTCAAGGGCACTTCAGTCATGAACTGTTAGCCGAGGGGATCAAACCGGCGACCTTCCAGTCACAGGGCTGGTTCCCTAACCTCCAGCCCACAACTGCCCCCAAGGACTTCTGTGTGCAAAAATATGAGTATTATATTTAATCTGTTCTTGATGTTGTCTATAATGATGTGTATATATTGCATTATGTTAAATTTTCATGAATAACTGTAATAGAAATATATTTTTTAAAACAATATTAAGCACTACGTCCATATAGGACGTATGTTTTGTTTTGCTTGCTTCCCTTTCGTTCTTTCTCTCTCTCTCATTCTCTCGCTTATTAGGAACCCTCCCACTTGTGCGTGTGATTGGCTGGAGTCCCGTAACGAAATTTCATCTGATTGGCTGGCTGAAATTGCATGGCGTATATCTTCGACGGCTGCGCCGGATGTTATCGAGGCTTTCCTCCATGGCGGCTTGGGGCGATTGTTTTTAGATCCGAACCGCAGCGCAGCTTGTTTGTTTTATTGCTAGCGATTGTCTACTCTCCTCTCAAATGAAATAGCTTAGCTTTACCTCTTGTTCTATACCCAGTTATCTCTGCAGTTAAACTGTAAGCTCACGATCTGTCTCTGTAAATGTTCACTCTTATGCCGACCAGGTTGTAGGAGTGGGTGCAATTTCTTTTGATCTTGTTTTCTCCTGTTTTTGGTATAGTTAGGGAGTTAGGAAAGACTGACTGTACTTTTGTTTCTTTATGTTTGCATAGGTAAGTTAGTTATCTAACATTTCTAGCTAGGCTTGTTATGTTTATTGTTTTGGCGCTTGCCCACTCTGACGTTCTCCTGTGTCGTATACACAAAAGAGCAGCATAAAAAGAAAATAACACGATTTGACCTGTTTAAACGTCAGCTGGCTCTCTTTTGTCTTTTTTATGTTATGATCATCTCAAACCCCTAGACAGGTCGTAACATAAATTGGGGGCTCGTCCGGGATTATTTAATGTTTTATCTTTTCCTATGAATTTACCATTTTGGATAATATGTATATGTTTTTTTTAAATAACAACCAAAATATGTGTTATTTTTACACTTTGCTGAATCGATTGTTCTTAAAATCAATAATAATAAAAAAAAAAACAATTTATATTTTTATAAGCCTGCAGTTTCCTGATTTAACATAAAGTCAAAAAGAAATCAGGTGTAAGAACAGATAAAATGATGTAGGAGTGAATCAGAACAGAAGCTGAACATCATTAGAGCAGATTAATAAAATCAGTGATGATAAAACAACATGAATATTCAGAGCAGTCATGAATAAGAAACATTACTCTGAAACCAGAGCTGTGTCTTATAGCTGGACAATGGGAAGATTAACTCACCTGTAACTCTGAGCTGAACTCCAGGTGTAGCTGCCCATTTTTCTTTTTCTTCATTTGTTCTGATTCTGAAGCAGAACTGATGTTCATCCTTCTTCATTACATCACTCAGTTTGAAGGAGAAGTGTTTCTGTTCATCAGTTAAATACTCAACTCTGCCTGAATAATCTGGGTCTTTACTCAGATCAGTCAGCTCCACACCCTTAACTATGTCTATACCCCAAAAAGTCTCTGTGACTGTAAGACGTTCTGGGTGAGTATAAGTTCCATTCATAAACACTGTGGATCCTTTTAAAGCACATATTTCCTGTTGGTTGTACTTCACACTCCACTCTGTTCCAAAAGCTCCTGAAACATATGATGCATGAAAGAGCTGATTACAGAGTCTGGAGCCCATAAGACAGTCAGAGTTACTGTAGCTTACAGCTTCACTTCTCTCCTCTCTAACTCCAGCAGCTCCTCTACAACACTGAGCTGATTCTGAGAGAAACCACAAAGTGTGAAGAGCTCTGAAAGTGTTGCAGCAGAGAGAGGGAGGCTAAAGAGAAGCAACTCTCAACACAGTTAATATGGTGAACTTTTAGACATTATCAAGTGAACAGTGAACATCTACATCATAGTTTTGTGCAGAGAAAATATCCAGTGTGCTGCTGTAGTGATGATGTTACAGTAGGATCTGCTGACTCACCACCAATCATGAGCAGAAAGATCAGAGGAGGAGGAGGAGCCATTCTCAGTGACCTCATCGCAGCAGCCTGGAGGGTATTTTAGTAAATGAAATCATTAAATGAAATGCTTTTAATTATGACACAACAGTGATATCTGTGTTTTATTTAATCAAGTCTGAGTTTTTCCATAAAAACAAAAACTTAAATAGTTCATCCTTTAATAAGTCATAGCATGTTCACATTTTTTACAGCAGAAACAGTGAAGCACCAGTGCTGTTTTCCAGCAGACCCTCATAAATCCATTCAGCGAATCAGCGTGCAGTATTCAGGTCAGGTGACACAATGCTGCCACCAATTGTTTTAGGCAGAATCTCAAATGTTTCCCTTCTCTCCCTTAAAATAATGGCTACTGGATCTACACAGAGCTCAGTGTGTGTAACAGAGAACCACTGTGGATTCAGCCATGTGTGCACAGTTCATACTGGACAATATTGCAATATTTAGATGTAAGAGCCAAAATTTCAGTACGTACCACTATATAAGGAGCAAGGAGCCATTTGAGATTCAGGTTTAGGATCTTCTGAGGTTTGATCTTATAAATGTTTAATATTGATTTTAATTTGAATAGTTTGTATACCAAAGTACCACTGTGGATTCAGCCATGTGTGCACAATTCATACTGGACATAAAGAGCAATATTTGGGTGTAAAAGCCAAAATGTCATCACTCCCATTGTGCACTATACAGGGAACAGTGAGCCTTTTGAGAATGAACCTAGATGTTTATTAGTGCAAATTAATGAGCTGTTTTGCCTGCTTATGATAAATAGTGCACTTACAAGAAACTTATTCAATAAATGGCTTGCAGCACCCAACTGCAGTTTTATTTACATAACCTGGCATGCACAATAAAAAACATTTCTGAAGAATTTATGGAAGAATTTGTGAAGATTCTTTAAAATAGAGATCTCTGTTTTTGCAAATGAACTCATCACTCATTCTCTTATGAACACGGCTGGTAAAGTAACAGGTGTTTCTTAGACATCTGTGACCATTTAAAACCAGGTCAAGGTCTAAATTGCATGGAGAACCTTCTTCATTCTGACCTGTTCTCCTTCCTAAATGTAACAATAAAGCATCATATTTTGTTCCTCAGGCATTACCATGACTTATTTTGCACTGAATTTGAAATGTATTTGTGTCTTTTTTTATTTGCCATGGATCAGGTGCACATGCATGATCTGTAGGCTTAACCTCACAAAAGTTTTACACATAAAAAAAAATAATAAATCAATAAATAAAGTAAAACATGAAGTTCACTGATTTATGTTGAGTTTAACTGAAACAATGGCAGTACAGACAACACAGACTACAACACATACATAAGTGCTTAACTATATCTGTTTACTGTAGGCTATATTGTTTCTCATAAACTACAAAAAAACCTCTGAACTAAAGAAAACATCTTACCGTTGTGTGACGAGGCTCATCTCCAATGCCAAAATGATATGTGGAGAGAATAGAGACAGAGCTGAGATGATAAACATGTGGTTAACACGTTTAACTATGAGCTGCTGCTCTTAACAGAAATGGCCAATGGCTCATTTAAATGAAGTTTCCTCTTACAGGATGCATGTGACCTTCTTAGCTGCAGCAAGAGATGAACTTGACTTTAAACTTCTGCAAAGTCTAAATTGTCTTTTAATAAAACCATCATGTCTTTCATTTCATGTCTAATATTTTATATATATTTTGGGGTAAAATTATATTACATAATTTATATTCGGTAATTACACAATAGTGGAAAATACAACTGAAGTACATACACATGTGTAGTTACATGAGCTGTGCTACTGTAATCAATATATAACCATGAATGCATCATCAGCAGTTACATTGTTGTTGCATGTATTATTAATGTCTAACTAAATGATTATTACAGACACTATACAAACAATTCCCTTTTTCTAAACAAATCATAGTGATCAAATTGATTTGCTGCCTGAAAACAGAATCTTAGAACAGCACCTTGGACAGCACTGTCACCTGTATACAGTTACATCCCACAAACCTTAGACCTACACTGCCATCTAGAGGAAGAGTTTTGAGTAACACTGTTTTACAGTGACCTTATTACAGCATAAGGAACAATGTGACTACAACTAAGCAGCTGATGAAATGACAGTGTTAAGGTAGTTTAGATCATAAAAATATCTATTTCAGCAGGAAGTTACATTGTGTAACTGCACATCTAATTTCACAACTTAACATTGCAAAACTAGTTGAAATTAGTGTCTGAACCAGGATTTGTGGCCATATTTTTATTTTAAATATACAGAACATTATCTGTCTGTGCCAAAAACCCCTTAACACATGTTTTCCAGGTGAAACATCGAAACACATTTTGATTGTGCTGACAGTGCAACTCCATTGATTGATTTGTGTCATTGTTCTGACTGTGGCACCAAGTCAGGCTGCAATTATTGCAAATAATTCCTTCACACTTTATGGGAGCCGTGAACTACAGATAAATGAAAGAGAAGATAAATACACATTGCATAACAACGAACATGTGCAGGTTCCTAAAAGAGCAAATAGTTTTGTCTGCATTGGTATCAGAAGTTCAATGATAGCCATCTGACACAAATCAGTGCAGTCAGTCCAGCTCCTGAGGTGCTTGTGAAGTTGTTTATAAATGTGTTTAAGTGTGTAGGAGATTAGAGCACAGATTAAACTGTGCAGGGCAGTTGGTCAAAATGTTTGGACCACAACCACTGACCTACAGCACGCAGCAGAAATATTACATATTGGCCTGTAGGGGGAGCTCTAACACTCTGTAATGACCCTACAGACTCATATGTAGAGAGAAGCAGAGAGAAACAGACACAGAGAGGGAATTTAACCTTTAACCTTCTGCCCCTGGTCACTGACCTGCAGTTTAAACTCTCATTATTCAATAAGGTCGTCCAGACTTCGGTTCCAGTGATGCATCTTAGTGCAGAACTGCTGACTGAAATGAGGCTCTGATTAAAGATCTGGTAGAACATTGTTTAGCCTGAACCAGAATCACTGAGCTGCTCTCTAATGACCACCTTTACCCACCAGATCAGAAACAAAGAAACTGACCTCAGATCATCTTCAACTCAGGATCAACATTTAGGAAGAAGAGGTTCACTGGTTGCTAATCTAAATGAAAGAGACAACGGGTTAGATGTTGGTGCCCGCCACTTTAGGAAGTGACCAAGTGACCAAGACTCATGGTTAGAGTTTTACACTCAGTTATCATTCAGGTCTGTTTCTGTGAATGAAGTGTTTTTGTATATTGTGCTGCTTTTCTGGGTAGCAATGACAAAGCATAGTATGTAAAGTAAAAATACTGCTGTAACTGTCCTGCCAGCCTCTAGTGTCCTTCTTCCGTCCTGGGGTAGCACATGGTGTGTTACGCTGATATTTTACATTGTATCTGTATAGTCATATTTAAAACAAACAAACAAACAAACAAACAAAAAAAACGTAGTTACTAATGAATTCAATGAAATAAACTGATAGTGTTTACAAAATGGAAATCAATGAACTGCTACAAATGAGAGTTTAATCAATAAAGACGTCTTTATTCACAGAAATCAGTCAAACATTTAAATCCCATGAAGTCAAACTTCAAATAATGCAAAATAGAATAAATCCCCAGAGAAATATGTTTCTGTCAAAGAGCACCAAATAAAAAGCAACAATAACATGATTACTACATAAGTTTAAGAAATATAGATCAATTAAAATGATGAAAAAGACTTGGAGACAAATAAAGATTTGGGTTTCAAACACATCCTAATGCATACTACTAATATGTATTAATATAATAATAAATAGATACTAATCTAACTAATATGTCAAAAAATGAAAAAGTGAGAAAAGTAAAAAAAATATATATATATATATTAAACTTTAAAGCTTTTTTCATGCACAGTAACAACAAAGGACAGCTCCACGTCCAATGCTCTCTCTCTCTCTCTCTCTCTCTCTCTCTCTCTCTCTCTCTCTCTCTCTCTAGCAGTTCTCAGCAGATCTAATCTTTTCTTACTGTGCTGTAAATCACTGAGGGATCTTCCACATTCTGAGTTGGTGACCTACAAAACAAAGACGGTGAAACTTTAACCTTTAATGTCTAAAAAACAGAAGATCAAAATTATATTATCAGAACAAACTTCACTCTTTCCCATCTTTAATAAACATGTTCACCACTACACTACATTTATTAATAACACAAACACAGTGTTTATCCAGCAGATGATGCTGAGATGAGAACTGAATTATTCAAACAGTCCAGAGACCTTTTTCTGACAAAACAGCAGCTGCATCTAAAACAAAGTTCTGCCTCTAAAATTTCACTTTAAATCTAAATGTTTTTTCTAACACTGTTAAACTGGTCACAGTGCTGAGTTCAGCTCTGCTGATATTAAACAATAATAAGCATGAAATAAACATTTTCTAGCACCTTTATTTGTGTGTAACTCATCATAATCTGGATCATTCTAGATTTATAATATTATGGTTGAATCAAACGCCATCAATAACACATATTTGGAAACAAACTTATGAAGCTAACTGGCTGCTCATTACTAAGCAGTGACCATAGTGAGTTAAACATTTCCAGAGCACTGTTATTTGTGCATTGTGCATCAAAATATTGTGCTCATCTCTTAACTGAGCTTTGAGACAAACTGACTCTTTATTGTGAAGTGAAGGTTACAATTTAAGTAAACATTAAATTTCAACAGATTTGCTTATCAAAGCATTTGTTTAGTGTTTTATTGTAGCTATCATCAAGACATCCATAGAAAATCAGCAGTTAGCTGTAAATGAAGACTCTTTAAATATAGATTTAATTATTTAGTCCATTATAAACTAACATAGCATTATAAAGCTTTTATTATATACTTGTTAAAGGTGAATTAAAGCCCCAACCTAAAGGCTGTCAAATGGGTCATTACAGCATGGTTAATGGTTGGTATGGTGTAGTAGGTAACACCTCTACCTTCTATGCTGTAGACTGGGGTTCAATCTCCGCCTGGGTAAGCACCTTACACTAAACCAATGAGAATCCTTGGACAAGACTCCTAACACTACCTTCACCTACCTGTGTAAAATTATTGAATCATAAGTCCCTCTGGATAAGAGCGTCTGCCAAATGCCATAAATGTTAAATACATCTTATTTTTATCTTGTGGGCACACAATATGCATGTCTAAAGTTTGCCATATGAATTATATATGAATGTCCACATGTATTTCACCAACATTTCTTTTAACTTCTCTTTAGCTTTACTGATGTTGCTCATCACACAAAGATTTTATGAAACAGTGCTGAACTGTTCTACTGTAAGGTCTGAACAATCCAGTAAGTGGAAGTTTGTCCTGCACACTACTGCTAGCCTGGTGCTAATGTAACATTGGAAATCCCATAAAGGTGCTTAAGGAAATTAGCATTTGTTTCTAAGCCTTTAATTTCTCTTTCCTTAAGGAAATTTTCTCTAAAGCTCAGTGAAACTCACCCAGTGGCAGCAGTGTGATAATGGAATGTAACACTGGCATATTGTGGCTCCCCCTGCTGGTCAGTGCTGGTCACTTCATCATTCTGAATCCTGACTGTGTCATACTGAACATCAGCAGCTCCAGAGTCAGCAGAAGCAGCAGCCTGTACAGGTCTGGATCTGCTGTGTTTAACGGTGGTGTAGAGGACATCATCCTAAAGGTGAAGAGTTCATGGAGAACAGTTTAAATAATGTTCTGAAAATGTGGCAGAAAAGACTCTTATCTTATAAACACTTTCATGAAGTGATCCAAATTTAAAAGTTCTTTTCTGTGGTTCTCAAATAATAAATAGATATAGCCTGTGAAACTGTCACCTACTAGTGGACAGAATATGTGGACAGAATATGTGATCGTTCTTTCTAGGTATCAGCTCTGTCTTTTGTTTCTGGTATTCTCTGAGCTCAAGATGACTTTGGACTCAATCTTCATTGTACTTACTAGGATACATTCTCATTTCATGAATATAAATGTACCTGTTTTGACTCATTGTGATCAGATCCAGCAGGTTTTTGCTTCATTCTGTGAAAACAGAAAAGAAAACAATCACTACATTCTAAAAAGTCTTAGGTTGAAATCCTTTTTATCTGTTAATGCATTGTTACAACCCCAAACAAGTCATTTTCTCACACCAAAGAAAAACGTATGCTAAAATTTACTCACCTGTAGATGCAGATTAAGATGATGATGAGAACAAAGCTTCCTCCTCCCACTGCAATCCAAACTGCAGAAAAACTCTGACCTGCAGAAAAGATCAATTATATCAATTTCATCTGTCATTATTTTAAATGTGCACACTGAAATTAGCATTTCTCTTATTATTCACTACCTACTCTTAACAGTGACCATCACAGTTCCATTCTGAGGTCCATGTTCATTCTGAGCTACACAGTAATGCAGTCCAGTGTGGTCAGCAGTGGTGCTGATGATGCTGTAATTCTGTCCAGATCCTACAGGTGAGGTTCCACCTTCTTTAAACCAGGTGTAGATCTTCACAGGTGGGTTTCCATCACTGCTGCAGGTCAGAGTCACTGAACTGCCCTCCACTATTTCACCAGAGGGGCTGATGGACACTGAAACGTTCTTTGGAGGATCTATGAATTGATATGTTCAGTTGTTTTAGGAATCAAAGTAATCACAGCAGTTTTTTTGATTACTTGAGATTTAACAAGAAAGATGCATATCTGATTATTCAATTTCTGTAAACATTGCTAAGTAAAGAATCTCTTTTTGGTTTACTTTAAAACAAAACAAAAAACAAACAATCTCACGTCGAACATTGAGGTTGTGAGCAGTAGAGTGGAGATGTTGATATCCTCTTACAGCACAGCTATAACTGCCTGCATCCTCACTGCTGACTGTCTGCAGGTGGAGCTGGTTGTTCTTGATGGTCTTTGTGGTTAAAGGACGTCCATTTTTGTACCAGATGAATGTTGGGCCAGTCAGACTGCAGGTGGTTTTACATGTCAGATCTGCTGTTTCTCCCTCTGTCACTTCTTCAGGAGTTTCTACATGGAGCTCTAAGACAATAAGAAGACCATCAGATTAGGAGAGAAGAGTTAGTAACAAGTGCAAATTTAACTGTCCTAAATGATGTTTGATCTTCTCTGCTTCTGATTCAAGAAGCTGTTGTATGACAGAAGAAGAAGTGATTTGGGCACCTGTTGCTAAATTGATAAATCAGTGCATGGAAACAAGCGAGTATGTTATTTAATTATATTATATAATTTGCACCAATTTGCCCTGATAAATATTTAATTTAAATGAAGTGTGCCCTGCAGATGTAATGATGGTGAATCAATATAACAGAAATATTCAGCAGCTCATGAGACATGAGGGGGGGGGTTTGATCAGGTAGTAAAATCTGTGGCAAAAGCTTAAATGTCTTTTGAGTGTTAAAATTACAGTGATTGAAAAGAATAAAATGTGAAATGAACAAAATGTAGCCTTTTTGGATGGGAAAGTGATTATTTTTAATAAAACACTGGCTTGTTGAGTGACAAAATTGCAGTATATTTACTTCTACTGTACTAGATAAACAATAATTGTATTGAAGTGTACATATTTACTGTATCAGTAATGAGCTCATTTTCAGATGTGACCTTACATAAATTTGATGAATAAAGGCCAATGAAAAAAAGTGACATCATAAAATATTTGTCTGGAATATGTTTATATATTGTCCTAATATCCTTTACTTTTTTTACTTTTTTTGAATAATTTATAGCTTATTTTTTGCATTGTGAATATTTAGAAAACTAAAGAAAACTAAAGGTTTTTCTCTTTTCCTTTAAAGTTAATTTATTTCCATTTTTGAGACACCAGGTTTTATTCCAACAGTGTCATGTGCATGTTATTTATACCATTTGCTGAAGAATTGTTCTCAAGATTCATAATTTATAGAAAGTTCTTTAAATCAATAACTAAATAATGAGACTGTATTTGTAAAGGATTAATATTTTCCATGGTTTGAATGAGTAGATAAACCTGAATCAGGGGTAAGGACAGATAAAATGATGTAGGAGTGAATCAGAACAGAAGCTGAACATCATTAGAGCAGATTAATAAAATCAGTGATGATAACATGAATATTCAGAGCAGTCATGAATAAGAAACATTACTCTGAAACCAGAGCTGTGTCTTATAGCTGGACAATGGGATGATTAACTCACCTGTAACTCTGAGCTGAACTCCAGGTGTAGCTGCCCATTTTTCTTTTTCTTCATTTGTTATGATTCTGAAACAGTACTGATGTTCATCCTTCCTTATTACATCACTCAGTTTGAGGGAGAAGTGTTTCTGTTCATCAGTTAAACACTCAACTCTGCCTGAATAATCTGGGTCTTCAGACAAATCAGTCGGCTCCACACCCTGAACTAGATCTATGCCCCAAAAAGTCTCTGTCACTGTAAGACGCTCTGGATGAGTATAAGTTCCATTCATAAAAACTGTGGATCCTTTTAAAGCACATATTTCCTGTTGGTTGTACTTCACACTCCACTCTGTTCCAAAAGCTCCTGAAACATATGATGCATGAAAGAACTGATTACAGAGTCTGGAGACCATAAGACAGTCAGAGTTACTGTAGCTTACAGCTTCACTTCTCTCCTCTCTAACTCCAGCAGCTCCTCTACAACACTGAGCTGATTCTGAGAGAAACCACAAACCACAACAAACACTGACTCACCAATAATCATGAGCAGAAAGATCAGAGGAAGAGGAGGAGCCATTCTCAATGACCTCATCACAGTTGCCTGTAGGATTTTATGACATTATGAATTAAATGTTTCCACATCTTCATCCATTTCTAGTAAAATGTTAAATGAAATGTTTCCAAATATTTACCTAAATTCCTCAAGAAGTCCAAAACTTTAAATGCTGACACTATAATGAAGTCTGTATTTTATTTAATCAGTTCTTAATGTTTTTATAACTGTGTATTATTGTAACCTGACTGTTAAGAACAAAACAACTTTATTACATTTTCAAAACAGCTGTTAAAGTGACATTTCTGAGTATTTATGACCAGCAGGTTCTTCACAAGTGACGGTCTATACTGAGAATCATGGATCACCTTCTTCATTTAGAGCTGTTCTCCCCCCCACAGTGCACTATATTATTTGCACTATATGTCTTTTGTTTATGTTACTTCTTAAGCATCATGTGATCATACATGTTCTCCAAATTTTCCCCCTAAACAATCCCACATGAAACAATAAATATAAACGGAACTTCTTTGAAACTGAAATGGTAGAAACATCAGTCTAAACACAAATAGCTACATTTGTACTGTATGTTTCTCATAAACTATTAAAATATTCTGAATCAAACATACATCTTACCGTTCTGTAACGAGGCTCCTCTTCAACGTTCAGATGATAAATGATGAGAACAGAGACAGAACTGAGATGATGAACTAGATGTGGTTAAAAGATAAGTAGTCAGATGAAACTCCCAGAGTTATTAATACACTCATTCCTCTTATAGAATATATGTGGTCATCTTAGCTGCAGCAAGAGATGAACTTTACCTTCAACTTCTGGAAGGTCCAAAATTATCTCTCTTTCAATCAATGACATCTTTCTGTTCAAGAAAAGTTCTTTAAAAATGTACTGAAGTAGGACCAGTTCCTCTTCTTCTCCTGCTACTGTATGAAGCGGTAATTATCACTGGTGTGTTTATCAGTGCTGATCTCAGTACAGTGTTACCCAGCTGATAGAATAAACATCACCAGATCATCTGAAGAACACAGTGACTGATCTGCTGCATGTTCCACTGCTATTTTTAAGGGATATTCCATTACTATATTTTTTTAGATGAGATCTCAGATGGGTTTAATTATTTGAATTGTTTTAAGAGTTTGTTGGCTTAAAATGCATGTTGACCTAGAAGTGATGTAAGTCTAACTCTGAGTGAAAATCAATCAGGTTAAAGTGGTTTAATTAAGTAAAGTCAAAATGTCTGATTCTCTGTCTGCTCATGTGGCAGAAAAACACTGGACTTTTCCTTTCCTTCCTGTCTTTCAGGCTGATAAACAGGCAATGCAGTGTTTTATTGTAAATTAAAATGTTATGTTTTGCTTACTTTTTTTGGTTAGCATGTTGGTTAGCATGTTAGCTGGTTCATTACCTTGAGGTTTTGCATATTAGCATGTAAGCTAGCACGTTAGTTTGCAGTTAGCACATTCCCAGATAACAAGTATATATCAGTCTCCAGGCTGGATAAGTTCGGCACCCAGCTGACTGTATGCCACTACTTATACACCCCCACACATTGAAAGTTTAGCTAGTTTAGATTTGGTCTGATATTCTGCTTAATCACCAGTGGGGCACCTGGACAAAAGCTGATCAAAAAGCCAGAAGGCCACCACATTTGCCATTGGTGGGCCCACTACCCTACTGCCCCTTTGCCATTAGTGACCCACTACCCTACTACAGACTGGGTTAGTTCAGGCATTAGCACATTGTCAGCACCTTAATGTGTTAGCACCATAGCTAGCATGTTAGTTGACAGTTAGTGTGTTGGCACCTCAGCTAGCATATTATTTCGCAGTTGGTGTGTTTGACTTTTCTCACAAATTGCCCAAAATAAGCTTCAGTTTGGTTATCTGGGCTATAAGTGAGCACCTATATGAAAATAAATCTGCAGTTTTATTTTACACATACAAAAACACACTTCAGTATAGATGATGAATGACTTCTACACACAGCTTGAAGCACAAAACATCCAGCCAGCAAGGAAGACCACCCCTCCTCTCACCAACCAAGTGTTTAGTCAGTACACAGCAGACTTTAGGAAAATTTTTCCAGAAATGACCTAAATAAAACTGCTGGCCCTGACAACATACCTGGCCAGGTGCTCAGAAGATGTGCTGACCTGTTTGTGGCTATTCTATCAGACATATTTAACTTAACTTACTGAGCCAGGTAATTATCCGACTACCATCCATGTGCCAAAGAAATCAACTGTGTCTTGCCTCAATGACTACTGACTCATAGTGCTCAGTCCAGTCATCATGATGTGCTATAGAGCAGTCTTGTCCACATTGGATACACTCCAGTTCATGTATCACCCTAACGGGTCTACAGAGATGCCTTATTCTCCGCCATTTACCATTTGCTGACACTCTTGGACACTCTGGACAAAGAAACAACAACAATTATGTGAGAAATTTACTAGACTCTAGACATTCTAGACACTAGACATTCAACACAATCATCCTTCAACAATTTACTGGAAAGCTGAGGTTGCTGGGTCTGACCACCTCCAGTACAGACCATAATGACCAGCTGTTCCACTGTCTGGTATGGGAACTGTGCCATCTCAGATGTAAAGGCCCTACTGCAGATTATGAGGACAGCTGAGATGATCATCAGGGTGTCTTTACCCACCATTGACACTTCCCACCACAAATGCTGCACCCACAGGCCACCAGCACTGTGAACAACCCCTCCCACCCCATCTTGGACTCTTCACCCTCCTGCTGTTTGGCAGAAGGTACCGGAGCATCCATTTCAACAACAAACTGTGCAGTGTTCCCCCGAGGCAGTCAGACTACTGAACACACTGTTGTAGACTGATCAAACAGGCCTTCATCATCACTGCACACCTGCACTTTAACTTCTTTAAGTCTTTCAATGATGCTATTTGACCTCGATTCATATATATATGTTATTTTGCAGTCCTGTCTAGTTACATCACATGTTTTTGCCATGTGTATTTATTTTTTATTTATTGTCTGGTGTATTTATTGTATATTCTGCACTTGTTCCACGCTGTTCTATATATGTACTTTATGTAGTTCTGTGTTATGTGCTGCTGTTTTGTGATGTGGCCACCATGTGGCCTGAAGAATCACTTTGAGATTAATAACATAAAATTAGTGGATATGTACATTTAAACATTGAATTTGTGTATATATGTTCCTGTGGCCTGTTTGTAGTATCAAGCTTGGCTGCTGCTGCCGGGGTTCTCATAGCATGTCTGAGATTACTGAGAGAGCACATTCATATGTGTCATTACTTTAGCCTGATGGGTGCTCAGAGGCCAGGTCTGGGTGTGAATGATGTCATTTTCTCTGAAAGTATGAGATGAACTCCAGCAGCAGTAGCACATATTTTCTGCATTCTACTTTTAGAACTGAACTCATGATGATAGGAGTCAGGTATGCTGATTAACTTAGTTAATCGTTGTTGTCTATGGTTACTGACTTTCAAAGGGGATCTTTTTTTTTTTTTTTCTTTTTCTGGACATAGTTTAAGCTGTTAAGTAGGATTCCAACCCTGTTCCTGGAAATCTACCACCAGTTTAGTTCAGTGCACCTGGCTCTGACAACAAGATGCTCCTGAAGGCCTTGATTAAATGGATTGGAATTGTCTAACATTATATTATTATTATTATTATTATTATTATTAAGAATGTAACTACATAAAAAATGAACAATCTCACTTCATCCAGATCTATATTAATATCTATAGACTCAGATGTAGTTCATATGATTAATAAACTATGTAGTGAAATTCATTTGATTCTCATCAGTGTTTGGGTTATGATAAGCACCAAAGTGTGAAATAAAAGTTATGTGGATCAGTTTCAGGTACAAGGCAGCTGTATTTGGGGCAGTCCAACTCTCATAGTCATAACAGGCAGGACACAGGCAAGCATCATAAGTGACATTTCCATTTTTAAAATAAAACAGAAGACAAAGTGAGGGTCAAAACAGGAAAGTACAAAACAGAAGACATGGCCTGGTGCTCAGGATAAACAAGGAAACTTCACGAACAACTAATCCAAACAAAGGGGCATATAAAAAGGAGTTAATAAGTTCTAGATCACATGCAGGTATGCAAGTGTGATGTGACTGGGCAGAGCCAGAGAGAGTCCAAGTTGAGTCTCCCCAAAAGGGAGAGAAAACATGACAGAACCCCCTCTTAAGGCGTGGCTTCTTAAGTGCACGACAGAGGGTGGGTCCAGACAATGAGGAGTCATGGCCACAACTGGCAGAAAGAACAGACTTTAGGGCAGTCCATCGACTGGGTCAACATAGGGGTCAGGGGGAGGACCAGCAATATTGGTCTTCTGAGTGGGACACAGGTATGCTGGCTATGGAGCCATCCCGTGGCCTGGCATAGAAAGAGGAGCTCTGGAACCCAGCACAGAAAGAGCAGTCCTAAAAGCTGGCACTGGAACAGGACAGGGAGCCAACACTGGAGCAGCAGCTGCTCTGGAAAGTCAGCTCCAGTAGTAGTTACCACCCCAGAGGAGGCACCTAGAGGAGCCACCTCAAGACAGCAGGACTTGGGAGCCACTACTGGCAAGGTAACTTGGGGTGGCAGGATAATGGTAGATGTCTATGAGCTATTGATTTTACCCTTACTGGTGCCACCCCAGAGACAGTTCAATTCCTTTTTTTTCTGAGCGTGTATAGTATCAGGAGAAAATCGTCATTCTAAAGAAAAGACAACATGACCTTGATGACCTTTAAGAAAGCACGTCCAGGTCTCACTCTGTTCCTCAGATCTGTTGTCTTTGAATTGTTAATACTGTACTAAGATCAGCACTGATAAACCTACCAGTGATAAACTCTGCTTTTTGCAGTAGCAGGAGAAGAGATAGAACTGGTTAAATTATACCGGAACATGTTCGACCCGGGCGGCCTCACTGCAAGCTG